GCGTGGTGTACCTAATAAAGTGGCCGGTGGGTGTATATATATATAAATAAAAAAATTTTTTTGCTTGGAGCAAAATTAAGATAGTTTAAACTTGCCAATGTTATGTTGCATGTGCACCTACCTACACTCACAATACGGTAACAGCTAAAACCTGCAAATGATTGTTTTGAAGCTTTAAAGTTTCAGTAACATCATCACAGTTGTGCTACAAATTACAAATCATTACAAACTGTTTTACATCTTCAGTATCTCTTAGTCTGTGTAATTAGGTATATCATTTATTTGTTWCTAAAAGGCACACTGATGAATCTGAAGCATAAATCAGATGACTGAATGCATCAGTTGTTCTGCAGATGTCCTGTTTATCAGCTGGCTGCATGTTTATTTGCATTGTAGAATGATGTGATCACCAAGGACTCATTTTGCTGCTGCGTGTAAAGACTCGTTAGAGAGCCGTCTGATTGCATGAACCAGCACGTTTGTCACTACCAAAGATGGCATCACTGCCAACCTTTAACTCAAGCAAAATGGTTAGATTTAAGAACATTAAAGACTTTTTTTTTTTGGAAACAAAATTTTTGAAAAAGCATCGCTGTCATTCTGTTTGTCTCTGGGATCGTTTTAGATGTTTGGTGTGGTCCACAGGGCGATCAGTTTGTTTCCTCTTCAGACTGTACCTCCTGTTTCTCACAGATGTTTTTATGTTGCCTTGTTTTCAGCCACATTTGTTAATGAAGGTTTTGCATTCACAAAACACTAACTTCTATTAAAAACTTTGATTTAAAACTCCATTATTGGTCACAATAATCCAACTCAAATCCATCTTCTTCTTTGTTTTTGTTCCTTCAAAACAATAAAACCATTTAGTACCAGCCACAAATGACTATGATAAAAAAAAACATTTTTGTAAAACTTCAGTCTCTTTTTGTGTACTTTATGTTGTCGTGACAAACTGAAACCACTTCCTGCTCCTATAGGAGCGAAGTTTCTCACAGGCTTGAGAAAATGGTTTGCATTGTTGTCAGGACTGAAAAGCAGGTCTCTGAAGTGAAGATGTGGTACACCACCTGGTGCTGCAGTAGTCACAGCCTGAACAGCAAACTCACAACACTTTATGTTATCATGCATATTTATTACAATGTTAATTTCTTATAGGTGTGGTGATGTCACTGATGTTACATGTAATAAAACATTTTGTGCAAAAAACTAAGGATTGTATCAGGTTTTCTTTTTGCAGTATTTCATCATCTTTTTTTGAAAAGTATTTTTTGTAGTAAGCGATCCAAAATATAACAATTCTAAACACTGGTGGAGYAGAATGACAATTAAACGTTCAGGTTTTGTTTGTGGTTGTGACTGGAGTCATCTTGGTTTGTGTGTGCGTGTTTGTGTGTGGGTTGCTGGCTGGCTAACCTCTGCTGTGTGTCTGTGTGTAGACGAGGCTTGAGCCCATCATAGAGGATGCGGGCGACCATGAGCTGAAAAAGTCCAGCAAGCGGACACTTCCCGCTGACTGTGGCGACTCCTTGGCCAAGAGAGGCAGTGTAAGCACCCCATCCTCCACTCCTCCTCCTCCTCTTTAGCACACCATCCACCTTCTCTTTAGGACACTTAAGGCTGGTTTAGACCCTCGTTGGTGTGAAGGGGGTAGCACAATGCCTGTTTGTCAACAGGAGGGGTGGAGATGGTGCAAAGCTAAATTAGCAGATTTTCCATTAAATTGAAACTGTTTCTGTCCATTTAAACTGTATAACGTGTGGTTGTAATCACTGCGTATTCAGACGTGTGCGTCTCTCCTCAGTGCTCGCCGTGGCCAGACGCCGCCTACGCCAGCACCAACCAGGCAGCTACCCCCTCCTTYACCTCCACCCCACTGTCCACCTACACAACTTCCTCAGTACTGGACAGGTACTTGTGAGCGGGATAGTGTTCAGTTTGAAATGATCCTATTTGCTGATGCTTCCACACTCGTTTGTTTCCCAGTGACTCGTCCTCTCCCAATCACCAGGCAGACCCTGGGGTCCACAGCAACTCAGAGGTTAGTGGGTACTTACACAACTGCATCTAAGAGTTTTAAAGCTAATTTTCTTCACCAAAGAAACATTGCTTTAGGCTGTTATCATCTAAAATAAAATATTTTGTTATTGTTTGGAGCATTTAAAATGTTGTTTTTAGTTGTTTATGAAGACGTAATAAATATGCAAATAGTTTCCTTGAGATTTTATAATTTGTTGCAGGATATGAGCGTATTTTAATCATTTTCCTCTGCTCCTTTTACAGCAGCTGAGCCCCACTGCCTCCATACAGGACACACAGAAGTGGCTGCTGAAAAACCGTTTCAACTCCTACACTCGACTCTTTTCTCATTTCTCAGGTACGCACAAACGTGACTCCGTGAACGTCGTAAGGGCTGAATGATATTTTAGGACTAACCCATCTTGCTGGTAATCTCATGAGGCTAGTCTTGATCTGTCTTTAACTCTGTTACTGTAAATGTCAGAAGCTGCGTTTCCATTGCAAATCTGCGCAAAACTTTGTCGATATTCTGTTTAATGTTGAAAAAACACAGTTTCACAATTGCGGTGTTTCCATTAAATAAGAAATGGTATTAACGTCAGGCGTGAATACGTTTGTTCTCACGATAAGTCATCACAAACATGGCGGCAATGGATGTAAACACATGCTGCTACCACGACACTAGTGCTCACCATCAGAGGAGACATCGGCGTCTTATCGAGTCTTTCCAGTGACAAGCCCTTTACACTCAGGAGCGGCTACATATGCAGTGTTTTTGGGAAATTGTTGTCGGTGAGTTTACTACTACTTACTGTTATCTTCTTTGTCGTCGCCTTTTTTGCCAATAGAAACAGCCGGTTCTTGATCACATGACTCCTGTGATGTGAAAGAAGTGTTTCCATTGCAGTTTTGCAAAAAACCACCTCATCCTAGCGCAAAAACATTTTGTCGAAAAAAGGAAGTTTTTTTTTTTTTTTTTTTTCAAAATTGACGTGTTTCCAGTGAGCAAATTTATTTTCAAAATTCTAATTTGCACATTTTCATGGTCAATGGAAACGCAGTGAAGCACCTTGTATGTTTGTAAAAGATGTATAAGTTCAGCATCATATCTGTTTGTATGTTCATTATTTGGTGAATAAAAATACTTTAGAAATGACTAATTTGTCTTTTTGTAGGTTCTGATTTGTTAAAGTTGACTCGGGATGATCTGGTTCAGATTTGTGGGGCAGCAGATGGGATCAGACTCTTCAATGCTCTCAAATCCAGGTGTGTTTTCAGGTTGTTTTTTTTTTTTAGTTTGATATAGAGAAGCAAACTTTTATCCAACTCTAACTAAAACAAGGGGAAAAAACGATCAAACTTTTTTTTGTTGCATTGATTGTTTACAAAAGTGTCTGTTTTCTCTTGGTCTTTTATTTGTGTAAACGAGAAGGCTCATTTTAATCTTTTTTCCTCTGCTCAGGTCAGTTCGCCCCAGGTTGACTGTGTACGTCTGTCAGGAGTCTCCTCAGGAGAGCCCCCTGCTGGAGAGACACTGCACTATTGAAAACGGAGAACACAGGAACTCCACTAGTTTACACGGTGAGCGTTCTGTTGGCTGAGCCGACGTGTGTCAGTGTTTGTCAACACAGGTCTGGGAGGGGAACGGAATAAATAAACAAGCTCTCCTGTCCTGTCTGTGTGCAGTGTATCATGCTCTGTACTTGGAGGAGCTCACAGCTGCAGAACTCATCAGAAAGATGGCGTCTGTCTGCGGCATTCCTCTGGGAACCATCAACCAGGTGTACAGACAGGGTCCTATAGGCATACACATCCTGCTCAGTGACCAGGTATCATCATTATACATATGATCCTTCCCTAGTTTAATGTTTTTATTCTTAATCCTGTTTTATTGAGTGGACACTGCACCTAATAACAGCTACTACAGATAAACAGTTCTGTTTATGATTGTAAAAATCAAGAGCTAAAGTTAAGCTTTATTAGCCTCACTACAACACAAATCACTTCCTGGACAAATGAATCAATTATATAAATAATAAACATATTAAAATGTGTTGACTGTCCTGAAATTAATGATGTAAAACTAATTCCAAACTGCTTTTTTCCTGACTTTTGTTTAACCAGGTAAATCTTATTGAAATTAAGTCTCTTATTTCCAAGAGAGATCTGGCCAAGAGTGGCAGCAGCACACAGATATTACCAAATCCTAAAACTAGACGCATCAAAGCACAACTAAATACATCACGATAAATAAAAGTGGGGAAAAAAAACACCCATAAAGTTAAGATACGACTAAAAKTTTAACACAATTACAGGTGCTTTGTTTACAAACTGTCTAAGTATGGCCCTGAAAACATTAATAAACCAACTCCTTCAACTTTCTGCAGATGGTTCCAGTTTGAAGCAACAAAGTGGAAAGATTATTTTGCTGTAATCAGTGCAAAYCTTAGAGTTAAAAATATTAACTCATCGGAGCTCAAAGATTTCTCAAACAYGCATGAACGAGTTAAAGCAACRCTCTRGGTATGTTTTTGATGAGAGAATGACTTTAWAAYAATATATAAAGCTCAAAAAAGTTGATTTTGCACAATATCCCCCTTTTAACTTTCCATTTCTTAACATTTAATGTTAATGTTTGCGTTAAACAGGGTTCATGCTGGGTCTTAAAAAGTCTAAAAAAATCATGAAAATCAAAATTTTAGGCCTAAAATGTCTTTAAAATGCCCACATTTTTGTCCAAGTTCTTTAATTTTGTCAAATCTTAATTTTTTTWCYTTYMAWYMWTYCCSRRRARSSKT